CATCCTACCGAACCGTCAGGTCGACATGAGTAAGATTCTCCTAGACATATCCTGAAGCTTCAACTTACATATTTTAGTCCGGGCCATGATTGATATCTGGAGACACGAGCGCTTCTTGCCCGAGGGCCGCAGTCACAACCACAACGGCCGTGTCCAAGGTGGCTCTAACTCCGACAACGTCCTTGCCGATGCATACGTCAAGAAACTTGACAAGGATAAGCTTATCAACTGGGCAGACGGCTATGCTGCCGTACGTACCAATGCCGAGCTGCAGCCTTACAACAACTTTGACTTCAACGATCCCACGGGAAGCACAAAGGAGGGAAGAGGCGCCTTGGATGACTGGAAAAAGTACGGATACGTGTCGACCAACTATGGACGAAGCGTTAGTAAGACGGTGGAGTACTCTCTGAACGATTTTGCTGTCTCTCAAATTGCCAAAGGCGAGGCGCCGGATGATGCCGGGAAGTATTTAAACAGATCCACGTAAGACCTCTCCGGGGTATCAGGCATTCTTAGAGACAAGACTGACATAGCACAAATAGCGGATGGCAGAAGATCTGGCTCGCTGATGTATCTGCGCTGAACTTCACCGGGTTCCTCGCCCCTCTGCAGTCTAATGGCACTGTTCTCCCCGGTTACAGCCCCCTTGCATGCGGCGAGTGCAACTGGGAGGCCATCTCTTACGAAGGCACCCCGTGGGAATACAGCTTCACTGCGCCTCACGACATGTCGACCTTGATCACTTTGATGGGAGGCCCTACCAAGTTTGAAAGCCGACTTGACACGAGCTTCATTCCTGGCCTTGGAGAGCAGGAGCAGGGGAACAACGGCATCGGCAGCATGATTTACAACCCTGGTAATGAACCTAGTTTCATGACCCCGTTCCTCTACAACTACATCAAAGGGAGACAGTGGAAGAGCGTAATGAGGAGCAAGTTCGTCGTGGACGAGTATTACCACGTCGGACCTAGCGGTATTCCAGGCAATGACGATGCTGGAAGTATGAGCAGTTGGCTCGTGTGGAACATGCTCGGACTCTACCCTGTCGTTACTCAGCCCGTTTACCTGATTCTTTCACCTCGATTCGAGAACACAACCATCAAGCTCGGCAGGGACGGCGGCCAATTACAACTCACAGCCACTGGACTCGATCAAGGCCCGTATATCCAGTCTTTGAAGGTGAACGGTAAGACATGGGACAAGAGCTGGGTCACGCATGATGATCTCCTAGGCGAGAACGGTGTGGGAGGCAAGTTTGAGTTTGTAATGGGTGCGGAACCTCAGGAATGGGATTCAGGCGAACTGCCGCCTAGCCCGGGTGCATTGTAAATATACATCGACTGACCCGAGAGTTTACTTTGCTCGGTGACGCCACACTCGGAAAAGGCATCCAAGCAAAAGAAGGCCTTATGAATAAATACGTTAATTCCACTAATTCCAAAGTCACTTCCTTCTTTTGGAATACGCAGATGAGACTTAAGAACTCTCAAGGCATTCGCTACAAACGTCAGTTCCCAGCGGCGGTGATCAACCGGAAGAGTCAAGCTATCCGGGTGCATGTTCTTGAGAACCTTGGCAAAGGACCGGAAATTGTACTCTCAGCTAGTTATGATAGGCAATTTATGCAAAGATGCTGGATATCAAGAACGCAAGACGTACGGCTTACTTTGGGGTTTGACTAAGAGGCTTCGGGAAGGTCTCAGGCGGTCAGCTGACGGTGGGGGTGATACATCACGGCGGCTGAAATGCCTCTTCGCCCGGCTTACGTCACATGTCTTGGATGTCTTGGAAGTATGTAATCAATGTCACACAGAATGAAATCAGCCTCGGTTCAATGGCTGAATGTCAGCAGCGGCTACAGCGTGCGACTTGCTGCGTGCGTCCATATCATGACAGAGGAAATCTTTCATGATTTGTGACTGGTAATTTATGTTTTGCACCACAATTTCGCACTCTAGACGAAGATTCAATCCCAAGGATTCGCCAAACTTGCCATGTCTCGCAAAATCAAGAGCTTTACGTCTCGCCTCGAGGCGTCGTCCTATCATGCACCGGGCGGCGGCGCAGCCTATCAGCCCCTTCGAGAGAGCCTGATCAAAAAGATTTTGGAGCAAGGCTATGACGACGAAACAATGATTGAGCATGTGAGTAATCGCCTTTATGAACATTAATCATGTCATGAGCTCATCATTGTGGCAGGGCGTGGTGTGGGCCGACGACCAAGACCCTTTTGGGCACATCATGAACGCAGGCTTCTCCCACTTTGCGTCGTCTTGCAACTTCCGCGTGTTCGAGAGCTTTGAGGCGCAGTTAGGTGACAAGATCAACGACTTCATCAATGCAAAGGGCATCGGGGTCATGGTCAAGCAGTTCACTGTTGACATCAAAAGACCCGTTTCTTACCCCGACTCGGTAAGTCGGGCCGCTATAGTATTGGGGGCCAATTGCCATGCCTTGGCCGTCCGCCATGCTGACATTGTCATACCAAAAATCAGATCATCTGCGCCGTTCGGCTGGGCGAAGTAAGACCCGATCGCTACTTCATCACCACGACCATGTGGTCTCTTAGGCAGCAAGCTCCCGTGGCTGAGTCGGAAGGATGGATCGTGTTCTTCGACTACGGGAAGGGCAAGGTTGCGAACCTGGTGGAAGCCGGGGGTGTTCATAAGGATCTTTACGAGGCTCTCAGTGTCAAGTGCGCGAAGATGAATGAGACTGCGGCGGCTTGGAAGAAGGCCCAGCCTCAAAAGAAGCAGCACAAGTTGTGAAGTCCAGTTCTTCACATCCAAACTTGTGATGAGGCAGGTAGGGCCCGTTTCTACACTGATCACAAATGAACGGCAGGGCCGACGGGAACGACAAGAAAATTAAGGATGATGAAAATGCGAGAGTCGCATGGTAAGCCGCAGGATAGGCAATCAGAACCAAGATCTGAGGAAAGAGCTATCTGAGATTACATGAGATACACCTGCGTTTACTCATTTGACTTGTACTTCTCGGGCAGTTTCCAAGGAGGCAGCACATCAAAAACAGCAACATCCCCCTCAACATCATACAACTGCGACTCATTCGCAGGATAAGGCCTTTGAATCTCGTACCCGATGTGTCTAGCCATCCGCTCAAGAAAGCTACCCGCCTCAGGTGAGTAGTAAGGCAGTTGACGTCTCTCGTATCCAACAGGCCAATCATCGTCCAGGTAAAACTTCTTCACGTCCTCGATGTATAACGTGGTGGGTCCATGCTTACCACGGCGACCCAGGACACCAAATAAGTTGGCATACTGCGCGAGCGAGCAGACAGCGCCGTGGTTGCCGAACCTGAACTTGGGGTTTATCGCCTTGGAGTCGTTGTGTCGGCGGTGGTGGTGCTCCGCAGCGTCTTCAAGCGTCAGAGTCTCGCCATCCTTTGAGGCCGAGAGGAGTTGCTCGAAGAGGGTGTGGTTCATGTTGACGTTGTCACCCATGCCCCTGTCATTTCGGGTCGGCGCGGCGATGCAGTTGACTATGAACTGCACGGGATCATCGTTGAAGTTGTCGAGGTCGATACGAGGGCCGGGATGTAATTGGCTGGTCGGGCTGACTACAAGCGCGATCTGGGGGGTGTGAGTGGACGGTCGTATTCAGCAGGCAACAAGTGGCTTACATTGTCATCACCAAAGTTCCACACCACCCGCATAGCCTGTGCGATTTCGTCGTAGCTGATGTTGCGGCCGGAGCGATTGATAAATCCGCGGTTGGCAAGCGTGTTCAGCGCAGGACATGAGGCTCGCCGATAGTAGCCGTCGCCTGAGCCGTTGGTGTGTTTCTCGTAATAATTGAGCTTTTCGTCCCATGTGAAAGGCTCCTTGTATGGCGTGGGGTTCTTCGGGTCGGGGATGTAGAGATCGTTGTGGCCAACGGCCACTTGATCCCGCGCAGCCAAGATCCAGTCCTGATGACTAGGAAAGGAAAGTGCCGAGGGTACGATGACTGCGAAGAGCAATAGAAAGTTTTCGAATTTCAACATATTTGCAAGAGGGCTGGGTACTATGCATGGATTCAGGAATGTTGGGACTGTGTTTCCTGAGCAGCCCTTTTATGTGGTCCAACCGTTCCTCCAGAAGAGCCCAAGGAACGATATTACGTCTCGCTCATGGTACAATTCCTAAGGAAGTCTCTACGCCTGGATCGCTTGCTTGTCTTTGAGCTCGTCACAAATCCAAAAAGCCGCCTCGCCACATTGCAAGTTACCACGAAAGCAGGCAGAAGTTTGTGATAGCGAAATCCTTTGTCACAGTCACCGCCATTTCGGTGTTTATCCTTCGAGAATGGATGGAAGCAAATGCAGGCAGAAGTTGCGAAAAGGGGATGAAGGAAGAGCAAAAGCTCGAATAGGTCACAAACTACATCAGAACGAGCATAGACAGGGTGGTGAAAACATGGTCTTGAGGCACAGGCCTTGGCACGGATGTCACTTTGGCCATCCTTCATATCTCAATGCGTATACATCTCACCGATATCCCATTGTTCCCTTCATTGCCAGATGAGCAATCATATTCTCTCACTTCACATGAATTATTGAAGCAGGCCCGGGCCGAACCAGCCGCATCGAATCCTGTACCTTGCCTGTATACAGGTGACCAGTTACATGACTCAGTGGTTTGGTGCCTAGATACGAGTCTTACCCGAGATGAATGGAAAATTCTGTTCTATTTGGGATGCTGATGTCGTATAAGCCCTGACACAGGAACCATCGAGGCTTATTCTTTGTTCGACGTCCACTGAGGTGTCGGGCAATTGTCAGATTGAGATGGCGCAGTAAGGCATAGAGACTGGGCGACATGCGGGAGGATAACCATTTCAGGATTCATGTCTCAGTTCAATTCTATTCTCGACAGCCTGCGCAAAAGGGATTCCTGTTAAAAGCGACGTATCTCTCGAGATGCTGAAGATGTGCTTCCATCAAACAGTACAAGCAACTGCTCATCTCATCCCAACATCTTTGATCCTCCAGTCGCCATGAGACTTCTCCTATCCATTGCCGGTCTCACAACGGTTGTCAATGCTCTAGCTGTAAGGGCTGATGGCAATGTCACGTCTTCAACTGCAGTAGCCACACCTACTGCCTGGACCGGGTTCCCAGTTCCCACCGAGTACACACTTCCCCAAGATGACCACGACTTCCAAGAAAGGAAGGAGGAAATCAAGCTCAAGCGTGACACCATCACCTACGTACCGTCAATCATCGGAGAAACCTCCCTCTTTATTGGCGGCTCTGTCGGAACCCAGATAGTTAGACAGGAGCAAGCCAAGTGGATCCAAGACTTGACTCCAGTGCAGCAAGATGCCTTCAGAGAGGGCAACGCATCGCTCAAGGCCATTCAAGATGTAAGTTCGTTTCGGATACCAGCAAATCCCGCCGCAAGTCTAACCAATCATTTCATAGCATGGCGGGCTCAAGACTTTGGAAGACTACAAGATTCTGTACGATGGCCACTGGTCTGGCTCAGTACCTGGCGGCATTGCCCAAGGCCAATTCAGCAACTTCACCTCAGATCTCCTATTCGCAATGGAGCGGCTATCCACAAACCCCTACGTTGTCTGCCGCCTCAACCCAGAGTCCGACAAAATCCCATTTTCTGTCGACGCCAACAACGTCACCCATCTCACGGGGACAACCCTCGACACCCTCTTCCAGTCTGGCAGCCTCTTCCTGGCAGACCACAGCTACCAAGCTGAGTACACAGCCCAAGATGGCCGTTACTCCGCCGCCTGTCAAGCGCTCTTCTTCCTCGACCAGCGTTCCGGGCAATTCCTCCCACTGGCCATCAAGACCAATGTCGGCTCCGACCTAGTCTACACACCCCTGGATGACCCCAACGACTGGCTTCTCGCCAAGATCATGTACAACGTCAACGACTTCCTCCACGGCCAGATCTACCACCTCGCCAACTCCCATGCTGTCGCTGAGATTGTCAACCTGGCTGCCATCCGCACGCTCAGCAGCCAGCACCCGGTTTTCGGACTCCTGCAGCGCCTCATGTTCCAGGCCTACGCCATCAGAGCGACCGGTGAGATCGCGCTGTTCAACCCGGGCGGGCTATTTGACCAGAGCTTTGCGTTTTCCAACGTGTATGCGAGGAAGTTTGCGACGGATTTCTATCCGACTGTCGCTGGCCCATTTCAGGCGAACTACTTTGAGGAAGACCTCCGCACGAGAGGACTGCTGAACGCCTCTTACGGTCCAGAGTTGCCTCACATCCCCTTCCACGAAGATGGCCACAAAATTATCGACGCTATCCGCACGTTCATTGGAACCTTCGTCGACACGGTCTATGAGTCTGACAAAGTGCTGGCTGAGGACGCAGAAATACAGGCCTGGATTGCCGAGGCTAATGGTCCTGCCAAAGTCATCAACTTCCCTTCCGCCCCGTTGAACACCCGGAAGCAGCTTGCTGAGATCCTGACCCACATGGCCTGGCTCACCGGCGTATCTCACCATGTGCTGAACCAAGGCGAGCCCTTCACCACCTCGGGCGTCCTGCCTCTCCACCCGGCTTCGCTCTACGCCCCCGTGCCGACGGCTAAGGGCGGTATTAAGGACCTTCTCCCTTGGCTGCCCAACGAGCAGAAGTCGGTCGAGCAGATCTCGCTCCTTGCGCGCTTCAACAGACCAAAGATCGTTGAGAACAACGAGACACTACTACACATGTTTGACGTCAAGACTCTGCTCTCTGGCACTGGGGAAGCTGTGAAGGCTGCCAATGAACAATTCATGATAGCGATGGGCATAATCAGCAAGGAGATCAGTACACGAAAGTTTGATGACCAAGGATTGAGCCAAGGGATGCCATTTATCTGGACGGGTATGGATCCTGGGGTGATCCCATTTTACCTGAGTGTCTAAGCAATTGGCCATTTGGCATAGAGAGCAAGACCTATGAAACAGGCATATTCAAATTAAACGCTACCTTATGTATCCAATCTATATGCTCTTGAAAATAACCTACCTACATATGCCATGGAGTTTTACTAGCCGGGATGTGTCTACTGTCGTCGTCTATCGTCGTCGTCTATCTGCGTCGTCCATCGCCGTCGTTACCTTTCCACTTTCCCTATCTTGGTGCCACTTACGGCATCTTGGGAATCGGCACAAGTAGCTTCGCCACCGGCTTCGAACGAAACCAAGCCTTGCCATGGCAATCCCTATGGGGCCATTCCCTCTCCAGCTGTCTCCTAGCGTCAATGAAATCCTGCGGATCATGTCGTATGATAAACGGCCCGTTAAAGCCAGTATCACATATCCGCAGCTCCATGAAGTCATATGCATCGACGCCCCCAAATACCCTTGGGAAGCCCTCGTGTACATACTTGCACTTTTGACAGTCATGTCGGGGTTTGTACGTGTTGCGGTACCTCTGGACCGCATTGAGATCAAGATCTGGATGCAGCGCGTCAAAGTCTAAGAACCACAACTCCTTGAGGCCGGTGAAGATGTCGTGCACGATGCGCATATTCGAAGTGCCGCCGTTGTTGGCATAATTAAGCTTGCGCTGGGGGTTCTCGGGGTACCATGGGACATAGCCTTGGGCCTGGGGAGTTTTTACCCAGTCGGCAGGGAAGTTCCCGTTGGCGACGTTGTCGGCACCGTACCGCTCAAGGAGTTCCCATGGCCTCGCTTGCCCGTCTGTCATCTTTTCGAGCCACCACCCAAGATAGCGCGAGTAGGACTGGTCCAGCCAATTGTCCATGGTCACGGCGATGGCCTCAAGATCACCGCACAACGGGTCAAAGAACAATGGCTTACCGACCCACTGACGCGGGAAGGTTACTGATTGATCATCGGGGAAGTGGACGAGGACGAGGTCCTGGGTTCTGCACCGAGTTGGGTCGCCGATGAAGGTCTTCGGGGTGTGTCGGCATGCTGCGCGTTCGGCTGAGGTCATGGCTGGCGCAGTGGTCAAGGACCAGTTGCCCTGCTGCTGAGGGAAACGGTTCGATGCGATGAGGCGGTCCGTTGCGTCACGGCTTTGGTGATTAATACTTGCAACGTGCACATCTGGGGCGGAAGACTCAATTGCATGGATAATATGACGCCAGCTTGCTTTGTTGGCGACGTCCTGACGTCGAAGGGGATGGAAAGTGAGGTAGCGGGCGTTTTGGCAGGGGCAGGTGATGCTGAATGGAGGACAATCTGGCTGGTGAGTGCGGTGTTCTCTGAAATTCACGAAGCGAATCTGCGGTTGGTTAGGGTCTGTGGCAACCTCGTAGATTGCATCCTGGAGTTCGGCAGGGAGGGTGTTAAAGGGGTGAGGAGGGGGAGGGGGAGGGGGAGGGGAAGGAGGAAGTCCATGGAAGTCCCAGGTGGTGTTGAAGTTGTTCATCTTGGGCGTTGAATGGGGGACGTGGCGTGGAAATCGGGGTTTCGTCTCTGTCGTCGTGTCTGTCGTTGTGTCTGTCGTCGTCTCTATCGTCGTCGTAGTTAAGATGAGTGAGAATTGAAATGAAGTTGTATCAAGCAGAAGTAGTAGTGCTGAGTCTAGTAGATATGATGGTTTGAATGTTGATAAAAGAGAAGCTGATGATGTTAGAGTCAATTACTCGGAATGCTACGACGTTACCTTCATGATATAGGCCGAGGGTTTATAAACAACCCCATTGTTAGCCGCAGCGATGTTCGATATTTAAGATCCCATCACATTAACATGAGCTCAAAGACAGACTCCATGACAAAGTCGAGATGGACTTGGGTCAAAGCGTATAGTTCGCCGTTGTGCATTGCTTTTATGAAGTTGAAAGAATGAGTACCACCCACAAAGATGAAAGCCGATTCCCTTTCCCATACAATGCCATTGTGCAAGATCCCTCCAACGCCATCCAGAAAGACTTTTGGTGTTACATTCGGGTATCAAGAATAGATTCACTGCCCCCTTCCGATAGGATAGTTGAACATCAACAGCCCGTTCAAGCCGCCAACCCAGCCGTCATCATCGTACTCGGCAGCGTCGCCCTTCCCAGGTCCGCAGATGACGCAGGGTACGCCGCCCTTCCAATCGCCACTACCCGACTCACCAACCATTTCGCCTTCAACGCGGATCTCTGTACCGATTGGGGCGCCAGCGCTGCGCTTGCCGTCGATGCTGACCTCGAGCTCGCCGTCGCGGTTCTTGCTGCTGACTTTAAGCGTGACCTTGGTGTTGAGAGGAAGTACTAGTGGGCGGAAGCTGAGACTTCGGGGACAGATTGGCGTGATAAGGAGAGATTTGACGAGGGGGTGGATGATGGAGCCGCCAGCGCTAAGGCTGTAAGCGGTTGAGCCGGTGGGCGTGCTGAGGAGTATTCCATCAGCGACGGCTTCTGTAAGGAATCGGTTGTTGAGATAGATGTCAATGTGAGCAAGGTGTGGCTTCGGGCCGCGGTGAATGAGCAGTTCGTTGAGCGCGTGGATGGGCTGAGGGATGTCTCTCTTTGTCAAGATTGTGTCTTCGGGGGGTGTTGCGGGGAGATGCGCCTGGGACTTCGTCGTCGGTAGCAGCTGGCTGTTGATGTTCTGGCCATTTGTGTCGAAAACCCCGACTCGCAACCGGTGTCGAAGGAGAATCTTAGCCGCCCTACTCGGTCCCATACTCTTTCCTGGAGAATGGTGCCATCCGTTGTCCTTATTCTTCGGCTCGTGCTCCATCTCTCCGCTGGCGACCCTCGTATGAGGCCCCATCAAATCCTCGGTCGCAACCCCGCTGCCGCTCATGTAAGCCTCCCTCCACGCTCTCTTGTATTCCTCAAACTTCCACTCAGCCAAGAATCCTATCGTTCCAAAGTTGAAAGCGAGGATCGGTGGTACGGAGGAGTACATGCTGAAGTGGCTGGCGGCGCGCAAGATTGTGCCGTCGCCGCCCAGTGTGGTGATCATGTCGATCCTGTCGGGGAAACTCGATGGGTCGCAGGTGTAGATGGGGAAATTCAACGACTCGTGGACCATCGTCGCAACTCGCGGCTCAAATATTAGGTTCAAGCCGGTGTATGTGCTGTTCAGGTGCTTCGCGAAATCGATCGTCGCACGCAGGACTTGTGGGGACCGCAGTTTCGGCATGAGGAGGATGTTCCGTGGTGGCGTTGGCCAGTGCAGAGACAACAAGCCTGATGTCGAGTTCGGAGGGTCTCGATACTTTGGGACGATTCTTCGAGGGAGGGAGGAGACATCGCGGATTTCGGCGGCGCGGGCGGCGCTCGTCGTCGAGAAGTTCAACGGTCGAAAAGCTCGAATCGGCCCCGCCATGGGCAGGCGAGCTCGACTGCTGAGGGCCCAAATCCTGGACATTTGGGGCAGATCTTCAATTTAGAATGATAGGTGACGCCTTCAGGAAGGGTTCATGGTCAGTTGCAACAACCAGAAACCAGTCGCTGAGGCGGTTGGAGCTGTCGCGTGTTGGAGCTTGTGCGGAGGAAGAAGCGGCAGAATGAATTAGCAATGACGACAATTCCATTTGCCAGCCCCACCTGAGCTCTCACCGATGAAGTGACTCTGACCTCACCGAGCTGAGTCATCCCGGAGAACCCGGATGGCCCCGCATCGGGCCCGAGCCGATAGAAGCCGGTGGGGCATCTTCGGCCGGTGCCAGCCGTCACCACTTTTAGGTCCGAAATGAGCGATGACTTGTGGGCTTTGCTATGAATGAGAGTTCCCCTGCGTGAGGCCATGAATGGATCAGACGAGGTGTATGCGTGCATTGCATACGAATGGAGTATTGGCATAGAGTAGATAAGAAGGGATGGGGAACCACAAAAGAACGTATCAGACGGCTAGGGCGATGCTTCAAAGGCTCCGATGTTAACTCACTTGTCGCTCGCAAGGATGAGCGTTGCACATTGGGTGATGAAGCGAATCTGATTTGTGTTTTATCGCCGATGACAAACCCCGACTATTACTACCTCCATATCAACAGAATTGAACCCCCGAGATGGATCCCTCACTGACTACTCCTCCACCGGCTCTTCCTCCTCATATGCTTCCTCGGCCTCGTCGTCATCCATACCAGCATCCTGATACTGCTGATATTCTGACACGAGATCGTTCATGTTGGACTCCGCCTCCGTGAATTCCATCTCATCCATGCCTTCCCCAGTGTACCAGTGCAAGAACGCCTTCCTGCGAAACATGGCACTAAACTGGTCTCCAACCCTCCTGAAAATTTCTTGAATAGCCGTTGAATTTCCGATGAAAGTCGAGGAAGCATTCATTCCAACAGGTGGGATAGAGCAGTGCGCTGTTTGCACATTGTTCGGAATCCATTCCACGAAGTACGCCGAGTTCTTCGCCTGCACACCTCGGATCTGCTCCTCAATCTGCTTCGTCGACACCTTTCCGCGGTAAATTGCAGAGCAAGTCAAGAACCTCCCGTTCCGGAAATCCGAAGCCGACATGACGTTCTTGGGATCGAACATCTGCTGCGTCAGCTCCGCCACCCCGAGATTCTGGTACGCCGCCGCCGTCGTCAACGGCGCAAACCCAACCGTAAAGAAATGCAATCTCGGAAACGGCACCAGATTCACGGCCAACTTCCTCAAATCCGCATTCAGTTGCCCGGGGAAGCGGAACCCCGTCGTCAGCCCAGACATCACCCTCGAAACCAGCTTATTCAGATCCCCGTACGACGGATGCGCCTGCTTCAGCGTCCGGCGACAGATGTCGTACAACGCTTCGTTATCGATACAAAACGTCTCATCGCTGTTTTCGACAAGTTGATGGACCGATAGCGTCGCATTATATGGCTCAACGACGACCTCCGACACTTTGGGCGACGGCAGCACCGAAAAGGTAGCCATCATCCGGTCCGGGAACTCTTCTCTCACCTTGGCGATGAGCAGCGTGCCCATGCCCGAGCCCGTTCCGCCGCCTAGCGAGTGCGTGATCTGAAAGCCCTGCAGGGAATCGCACGTCTCGGCCTCCCGGCGTACGACATCCAGGACTTGATCCACCAGCTCCGCGCCTTCGGTGTAGTGCCCCTTGGCCCAGTTATTGCCGGCTCCGGATTGACCGTGGACCATGTTATCCGGCCGAAAGAAGTTGCCCAGCGGGCCCGAGCGGATCGCGTCCATCGTGGCCGGCTCGAGGTCCACGAGGACCGCACGGGGGACGTATTTGTTGTTGGAGGCTTCGGAGAAGTAGACGCTCAGGCGGTCTGACTGTTGCGTGGATTCGCCACGGAAGTAGCCATCTTGGTCCAGGCCATGTTCATCATGGATTGTCTGCCTGTTCGGTCGTTCGGTGTAAGCTTGAGTCTCATGAGAGATATTTGGGGGTCATACCAGAAGGCAGTTCCGACTTGATTGCCCTGTATGAACCCATTAACGAGACATCAATGAATTAGGACAGACGGTGACTTACACATTGGCCGGTCTGGAGGTGGATCTGTCGAGAACATTGGTCAGTAAGGCTTGCTCACACTTTTCCCAGCTTACGACGACGACGACGCAATGCTTACGATTTCACGCATACTAAAGGCAGTAACAATTGACTGAAATGATGGAAAGGGGGTACGCAGAACCAGTGTCTTCATCTGAGTATTTCCAGGGACATCCACCATTTATCAGGTATCATTGCCGAAACAACACGCCTCTTAACGCCGAAAATGCCTACCCCCTGATTCGTCCGGACTCCTCAGCCCCTCCGCCGCCTGTCGGCCCAAACCTCCGGAGGGGCCCAGACCACTGACACGGTCTTGTTCAAACGGATGCCTGCACCCATTAAGCGACTGCCTATCCGTTTTGAAGAAGCCTGGAGCACGTGTGGTACATGAGTTTGTGCGTGGCGGGACAGGCCATCTTGAGTCACGCCGCGACATTTCTCAGTTTGGGTGGATCACGCATTACAAATTTGGGCGATGTCGGTTGGCGCCCTTCGTCGCTTTACGTGATGTTTACACGGCGGAAAAAGAATGATGGTTGCTGTAGGAACAGAGCAGATGGCTTGGGACTTCTGTGTGTTATTCGGCTGCCTGGGGCGTTTCGGCGTTTGGGTGTTGCCACTGGTGTGTTGGCGTAGGCAGCTGCATTCTGCGCCGCATGCCGGTTGGAATAGAGCGAATGGGCCACTTTCTTCGTTCCAAAAGAGGCAGGTTGTTTTGCTTGCAATCGATCCAAACATTTCGTCTGAAAAGTTGGTGTGTCTAGGGAATACCGTTATACGGAAGCCTGGTGGGTGTGTGGAATCAACATTGAAGCAACGCACAGCAAGAAACTAGTCCCTTTCTTTTTTGACTGCGGCAACAGATTGCGTCTTAGTAAATTGAATTATGGTATAAATCACGTTGAAGAAATACAAGTACCTTCAAAGTCTGCCAGTCAATCACAACATTGATAACTATTACCTCAAGTTGAGTCCGATTCCTCAAACCCCCTAATCATGCTGTCAAAGAATGCCGCATCCACTCCTTGAAATGCCCAGTCTTCCACTCCTGCAGAGAACCCAGAACCATAAAGCTGATGGCCTGGACCGTCTGTAAGCCAATTGCTCTCGGTGCTTGGATGCAATAGGAGACCTTGATCGGAGCTCAAAGGCATGCTTGGTCCAAGTCCTGCTCCTGTTGTCTCGTCCATCTCCATCAGCATAGCCGGCGAAACGGCCGAAGTGATACTAGCATCGACACGCCCTTGGTTTTGCTGGACTTGTTGATTGATCGGTCTGAAAGGCTCTCTTGAAAGGAGTGCATCGGGCGAGATAGTGACGGTGCCATAGCACGGAATCTTGAGCCGTAAAACACTCGAGTCTCCCCCTTGAGCTTCTCTGCTCTCCGAAGATGGTGTTAACATCGCGTCCGTTGTCGAGTTTGCAGTAAATGCTGAGCCTCTTGCCGCATGAGCCTCTATATCGAGAAGCCTCACCAGCACATCCGCACTCTTCATCGCCAGCATATCGGTCGACGTCGAACTCCCCTCTCGCATCAACTCCAGAGTCTCTTCTACTTTGTCGCGATCCGTATGTCTCTGATGTGCAAGCACATCGTTCCCACCATCACGTCTCCGCGCGTCAACATGCGCCAGGAGAAGGGTCATCGCGGCTATGAGGGCGAAGAAGTCTGCTGCATCGGGTATACTACAGACACCAATAGCGCTACGTATGGTCACAAATCGCGAGAGAATTTCGCGAGATGCGTCGACGCAGGCGATTCTGCTAGTGCTTGCAGCACCGGATGGGGAACTGCGGAGCATGAAGGGGAGATGCAGTTGTACCAGGAGGAAGTAGTGAAATATTTGGCCGCAGAGACGCAGGCTTTCTGTCACTGAGGTGAGGGGTTTGCTGCCGAGTGAGGTGAACTTGGGGAGGGTCCACCATCTAGGAGGCATGGCGGCGGCTGCCATGCGCATTTCGAGGTCGAGGGTATGAGTTGTTTCGATCATGCTAGCGTGAGTATCTATTTGGTTTCTTTGGATGATTCTAGATGCAACTGCACAGTGTACCTGCTCAAGCCTTCCCAGGGGATGGTCATCGAGAGGTGGGAGGATACTTCCGTCCGAGGCTAGGCCTGAGTGGTGGTCTCTGGTGCTGTCTGGCAGACCCAAGAGCAAGCAGATGAAACGCTCAATATAGACTATCCGGAACCAGACGAAGCGTATGTCAGGGGGCCCGGAGGGGTCGACTGTTTCGACGGGTAATTGGTCGTGGGGGCGGTGGATGCCCATGAGTTGGGCAATTGATACTGCTCTACGGCAAGCCAAGAGAGATAGTCTGAGATTCCCACCGTTTGCCAGATAAACGGTTTGAAGAATCACACATTGAAGAGCGTCGATAGTTCCCATCAGATTGTTGTTTTCGCAGACCAGCGAAATTGCCGCGTCGGCGAGTCGCTCCATGATCTTGCGTGGGGTTGCTGATGTCGAGGGCGTGCACTTGTAAGTGGACGGTATCCTTTGCAGCATTGTGGCAAGTGTAAGCATCCTTTTTGCTAAAAGCACAGGATGCATAGGGTGGTATAAGCCGGCGACGAAGTGCTCTACTGGTTCTGGTTGAAGACTTTCAAGGACTTGATGCGGCGTGAGCAAGAGTTGAAACACAAGGTCGGCATCAGAATACGGCTCGTGTATGATTTCGCAATCTTCTTTCGACGGCAAGGCGGCGGTGAGATCTTTGGAAAGGGTTGCTAGGGGACCGTTTAGGGAAGGTTGGTGAAGAGTCGATGTGTGCTGGCTCTGATGGGGTGGCGGCTGAGATGTCTGTTGTGATTCGCCATTGATGGCCTGTACTTCTGTCGTCGATGTACAAGACGGTGACTTCGAGTTTGTAAAATCGTTTTCATGTGCAGTGACCGGCTGCGAACGCACTTCTACACATGATGTAGCATGGCTGTGAGCAATCCTCTCGTTCTCGCCAGGCTCATCATCATCATCAGCATCACGCTGTGGAGACCCCAGCGACACAGAGATTCCCCAATTTGACTCGACCCCAATCTCATCCTCTTCATCAATCTGATGAGTAGACTCCCTCGAACTCTTCCGGTACAGCTGCTCAACCAGCCTCTCCATCCGGCCCAATCGGTCCCCAACATTGCCGACCGGGGCCTGCGTCCGCGGAAGGCGATCCTCCGGAAACTCCTGGCTCACGCACGGCGTACCTTTCTGCCAGCATCTCCAACACGTGTCATGGGGACCGTTTTCGTCAAACAGGCAGCGGATCTTGCGCCGGCGACATTCCCAGCAGCTCCGCGTTCCCTTACGGACGGCTCGACGTTTCGTGGCGGCCCGCTCCGAGGCTGTGTGACGGCTGCTGCCGGTGGTCGTATCCGACGTCGCAGTCATTGCATGATACCCTGGCAGATAACATCGATGAAAAAGGTGTGGTGTGTGATGTTGTTCGTTCGAGTCTGGCCGGACGAGATGATGTTTGGGGGATTGAGCTCGTCCGCGTTTCGTCCGCCGTCGCGCGGACGGATTTGGAAATATGGGTCCCGGATGACGGTGGGCCGCCTCTAATTGATCCCACCTTCACAGCATAGATACATTGTTAGAGGTAGCTAAGGATAACATGAAAGGTACGAGGGTTGAATTACTTCTTCATCTAATACCTGTGAACAAGGCTGCTTTATTCACGTAGCACAATTGCCGTTTCAACTAGGAATGAAGGGGAAATAGCAAAACGTCGAAAACTGTTACGAAGAGAGGAAGGCAAAGGCACAGGAGTCAGATGAGTCACTATTCTAAGTTATTTGCTTCTCTATCATTTCAGGCGCAAAATTACGGTTCTATCTATCTAGTAACTCAGGTGGCGGATGAAATACCGGCGAAAACTTTGTCCCAAGAACTTTGCCAATGTCTTGGCGAATATTGTTCGCGCTTTCCAAATCCACCGCTTCAATGGGTTTTTGCGATGCCTTTTCTTTCATCTTCTGCAAGATTTGTTTTTCCTCGTCTTGCGCTGATACTTTCGTAACGTTGCTCACGAAATGATACTCCAGGTCTTCCATAGACACAGGGTGTATTAGGCCAAGATCCCGTACTTGAATATGATGGTCGACAAAATATGTGCGGCCAAAATGGATTCTGGCAGATCGAGGGAGGGTAGTCGATGGGTGGACTGGCTGCATTTCGATCGGTGGAAGTATGACTCCCGGCTCTGTTGGCAAGGGCTTAGGTGACGGGTCTCCAGGATGAATGATCGCATAGAGGTGCTGGTCATCTTCTCCGCCGGCTCCTCTTCCTGCATGTCTGGATCGAAAACAAGTTTTAGCTTGTGCCGCCTTGTCTGACTATGCTGACGTTCATGAATTGCAGCGTGTAATAAACTTACGTATGGATTCCCAAGCACAGGCATCCCCAATTTCCCTCTCGGACCACTACAAAGCGGCGGATGAGTACCGGGCCTTGAATTGGTTGATGCATTTTCTCGCCTTCGTTCTTCCGCCCAGGAGGCACTGATAGCGCACAACATTGATACTTCCAAGGCGGATGAAGGTCCACTCGAAGAACACCGCCGGGTTTCTCGATGGAAGCGCGCAAGGCATAGTTGCAAATTTCATCGTCTGTGATGATTGGTTGCCCAGTTGTAAGGTCCTCAAGGAGAATCCAATCGTCCAGAGAAAAGGTATCATCCATAGGCAATCTTTGTATGACTTCTTGTGCGACAAGATACTTGGGAATTGGCCATGACGCGGAAGCAATGGCGAAATAGAAGTTCCAGTGGGCAAACCGTAAATGGAAGACTGCCCATTCTTCTTTGGTGTATGAAGTTACCGGCTCATAATCGTCCTCAGCATATGGCTGACAGAGCAGACAACTAACTTTGCCGCGTTGCAATAGAATACGTCGACAAAATCGCGACATTTGTTTCAAAGGCAAGTCTTTGATTTAACTGAGCCTGCGTTTTCGTTGTTCGAGACGCTCTTCGTGTCCGGAATCTGAGACTGGTCCTAGGGGGGAGTTCCCAATTGTCCAATGAGCAGACTTGATATCGACCACGAATGCTGAAGTGATTGGTGTTGAAAAGATTTGACCGGCCCTGAAGAACACTGCGGGATTTTCGACAGGGCAAAAGTCACCGTTATTGATGTTCAAGAGTTGTTGAGAGCCAACATGGGCATGCAACTTAATCCCTGGCCAATAATCGATACTGGTCGGCTTGCTCGTCTCCTGTGTAACCAGTGTGACTGAATATCCTGCATTGTCTCTGTCATCAAGATCAGATATTAGTGGAAGCTCCCTGTTACCATCCAATGACAGAGAACTTGCCGATTACAAGCCATCGAAACCATGGTATTGATAATAGAGAGCGAAGACGCCAGTGACATTCTTAGCTTCTGCACCTAAGAGTTGCGCATGTGAAGTCAATATCACTCTACACCATGGTTCAATCATTTTCTGCCTCACCTTTTCCGGCATGCAAATCGCCCACCTTCCTTTGTTGAGAGTATCCTTGACAGCATTCCCAGAGCCCCCAAGCTTCAGACTTTGATAATAACGCTCGCTCTCCTCCAAGAAGGATGTCATCTTTTGATTGACGGATTTAGTGGCGAAGGCGATTGCGTTCATTGTCGGTATTCCCAGCTTGTTCGACGTGCTTAGTTGATCGACTTGCAGCAGGACCTTATGAATTACGTTCAGTTCTGCCATAAGCTCGCGATACTCTCGCCCAGCGCCTGATGAGTCCGAAAGAGCTTTGCTCAATTTAACAGCCAGCTCGGCGCCAGCCAAGAAGTCCCCGACGCTGAACCCAAATGTCGCCATCGCGGCCGATAGGCATCAACATTGGTCTGAGGCCAGGCGGGGAAGAGATAAGGGAGGAGGGTAAATGGTTGCCTTATTTCGGGCTAAAGTTGGGCAACCAATCAGACGCCCTAGGTTGCCGTGCTTTACGGCTACCAATGGCATCATCGTTGTGATGCGGCGCAGCGGCGCACTTCGATACGCTATTGGATCTCATCGACTACTGAGTAGGCGGGTTCCCCGGTCACGGTCCCATGATTGACCCAAATGCTCAAAAGGAAAAATCTCCAGCTGAAAAAGAGAAAGAACGTCTGACCTGTATTATGGTGCACCGCGTACCCGCACACACCCGTGTTCTATCAGCGTCGCCCGCAGTTTGTTCGATATCAAAAGATGGTTCTGCTGCATTATCCTACGCATCTCTAAGCGAAAAGCGCATATGGCTCATCAAAACAGTCATCCCAGGTCCGCTTCCCAGAGGACCAAAACTTCTCCAACACTCCCACGGCTGCCAAAGGAAGGTAGGTACCCCAGTCTTGGCTCATCGAAACCAGCTGTTTCACTACCATCACCCTCCCGGTCGCACTCCCTGTAGACGCCTCGAAGCCAGCAACAATGAGTGGCCATTCTACACAGTTCTTCATCAGCGGCGCCTCCGCCGCTTTCTCAAGGAGTGAAATGAGCCGTCCGTAGTGGATGGTTCTCACAGCTCTCCATCCCGCCGACGAAGGTAGCGCTCTAAGGCCTTGGAGTGATGATATGGCGTACAGTGCAATTGCAGACTGGTAAGCTTGGGCCATGAGCAGCAGCTCTTCCCTTATATCGGCCTCTCTTGTCTCGGCCCACGTCTCAGGCGAGAACTCAATGATGCCTTCTATCAAGTCTTCCGAAGCAGACTGTGGGGTTCCCATGTCTTCGGGAAGGCTGTCGGTCGCTATCAGGTAGCGGAGGTAATTGATGCGAATGATGTCGGTGAACAAATCAACGGGGCATGGTAGGAACGGGTAGTAGCCTGACTGATAAAGCTCTCCTATCAAGTCGATATTATCATAGCTGTGATTTGGTTCTGATTGGTCGTCTGCAGGACTCGTTGAGTTTGCAAAAGTTTCGACGCTATCTACATGTTAGAAGCCCAAATCTAGCTTACTTGTGCAAATGATATGATTCCAAAGAATTCGTACCATGAAGGGGTATGCAGGGGGGTTCAATTGGCCACTCACATTTTCGGGAAAAGCAGCATGGGCGCCATGTAAGGTGTCAGGCGGTACACGCTCTCGAACCCGCCTCGAATGTCGACTAGACTTTTGTAGCCGTTCAGGTGGTGTCGCCAGTTGGACGCGGTTGCCGATCCCATCAGCTAGCATCGGTCAGCAATCATTATAAGACCCCTAATCTTTCGCATAGGCTCACATCTGCGTATAGGAAGACCATAACACTGGCCATAGTCATGTCCGTTCCGCGCGTCGCGTCGTTGCAAACGTCTTCGTTGAGAGCTTGTATCGCCAAGCATCGATGGTGGTGGAACCGCGCTCGGATTTCCATGACGAAGGGGTCGGTTTTCTTTTGTGACAGACGCAGCATGCGGTGCTCAATGGCCATGGACACCAGAGCGTGCCGCGTGGCGGCAGGCATGTAGTGGATGAACCGCACCGGTATGATCCACGGGCTCTTCATCAACTGGGTCGTTTCAAAAGACGGGTAGACCGACTCGTTCCCTACAGTGTGGAGTAACAATTAAGCACACACATACAGGCCCAATACCCAAGGATACTGGTCACTCACAGTACGAAGTCGCCTCGATAATGTCACACACTTCCGACCGAAGTTCCATTCCAGGGGAAGGGGGAAAGATGTGAACCATCTGCGAGCCAGCTCGCGCAACGGCCCTGTTAGAATCAGGGCTGCTGTCCTGTTCGGAATTCGTCTTTGATGTTTCCTTCTTTGCGGCTGGCTTCTTCCGCTTCCAAGTGCGAGTCTTGACCTTGCCGGGCGCCAGCCACGTCAACGGTTTCTTGTCTTCATAGCCGGGACATACGACGCCAGTCGCCTTACACTTGCCGCATACGGGACGAACGGCGTCGCATACCACGCGACGACGCTGGCATTCCCAACACTGCTTCCTTCCACCGCCGGCAGCAGGGTGGTCTGCCGCCGTGGCCAGCGCTATGCGACGAGCTGTTGAGGTCATTGTCTGGTTCTCGGAATGGCGACCGAGACTGATTGATGGCACGTTTTGGGCTATTGCAAGTAATCGACGACACCTCCATGCAGGTCCGCCGTTTGGGGACGAGTTTCTTAAGTGATCGGACGGACTTTCAGCTTGGAGATGACATCGGCGAAGTGGGACGTGAGACCAGGAGGCGGAGTGCAGGTCTTGGCCAGCTCATTATCCTAATGGGGTAAGGCGGGGCTGAATCCTTCAGAGTTGCGGCGCAGGCTTTCAGCGTTCGGATACCAGCCAACCAGCCCTACGAACGGTGCTGACGAGCTAGCTTTATCTTGAGAAGAGATGAGAGAGATCCTCGTTGCGCGGCAAGCTAGGCTGCACGTGGCGACAGCGAGGGCTAAACTTTTCCTCTCATCCAATGGAACTCGGCTGCTCTCACTGGCCACCCCTGGCTGTGGTAGTCTGAGACATTGCGCATCATTCACCAACAGATATCAATCATTCTCGAATGGGAAATATTCTGAGATGCATGTCACTTATTCCGCTCCCGGAAGAGATTTATGAGTCGACTCGCGGAGATGGGCGAGCAGTGATATTACGGGTGGAGTTAACGATCTGAAGTTGAATCTGTCTTCATCAATATGAGAGTCTCCAATAATCTCAACGCGAGCTGCGGATGACAACTCCGTCGCTCTTTATTCGATTCGCACAAGGAGACCAGACTGAGGGTATCTCTTAACAGCAAGTAGGTATTGAGTTTCTAGAAACCAGCATTTCAATTGGAAATTAATCTAGGCTTGCGCGTGGGGTGCTAGTGCGGGTCATGAGCCCTCTGCGGGCCTCAATCTACATCGCTTCACAGCAACCACCATCCTCGATAGTCTAGTGGTGAGGATATCGGCTTGTCATGGGACCGGGGTTCAATTCCCCGTCGAGGAGTATTCAGTTCATTTTTGCGCTTTTTGCTCTTCGAAGTGTTCTCTGTTGATGCCCTGAGAACTCAAATCAATCCTTTGCGGTTAGTGGGGGAGAAAAGGTAACTATGTGAACGAACCTTTGGCAATAATTAACCTATCTTAGAGTATGGAAGCAGAGTCGTTCATCTCTTTGAAGATTAAAAATTTATCTGATGTTTGCATTATAATTTGAATGTTCCTTGTTATGTGTGCGTGATTTCGAATGGGTTGAATTTACAAACCTGCAAAACCACATTTTTTGAAAAGCCCTAGGCCGAGGTTCAATTCCCCGTCAATGGAGATATGATACCGATTTTGTGTATGTCTAGCCTTGTGGGTGTATTTCGGACATTATGAGATTGAACAAATTCTCAACGGCTTTCTCGAGTTAAACGGAAGGGCGCCAGGTAGCTTAAACAACTTTTGAAGCTTACTACTCACGAGCAGTAGTTCTTTAGCTCTTCGCTCCTAATGACACTCTTCTAAATAATCAATTAGATCAGTGCTGACTCCTGTGAGAACAACCCAATCAAATGATTGTGACAATCCTTGTGGTGGAAGTTGTGTAGTCCACCGCAGAGTTCAAGGCCCCTGCCCCAATTCTCACCGCCACATAGTCACACCCGGTGCGGTCTTTCAGCTTCCGGGCCTCAGAACAGGCTGGCCGTTCAGAAGCCAGCAGGTATATCCCGGAAAAGCTCCGGTTCCCAGATTCCGACTTCAATCTTGAGGCAAGGACGAGGAACAATAGGACCTCATCTGCAGCAGGCGTTTGGATGATGTTCACGTCTCCTTGGAAGAAACATTCCACAGGATTCGCATCACTGCCTTGGTCTGTGGCGAAGGGCCTGCGGTGCCTCAGTGTCGTACATTTCAGCACAGGGTGATAATCAGCCACTTCTACCACAAATACCTGCCCACGAAAGGTTATGTGGCCTTCGGATACTTGTCCTCGAAGATCAGCAGTATTTGGACTAGAGGACGCTTCCAGAATCTGCACTTCGCTTTCGAGCTCCGGAACCCATCTTTGCCAGGACATGTCCGCCGCCTCGAGTGATGCCCATGACCAAGATGGGGTTGATGATTTTGTAGATAGTGAAGATGTGGCGGCAGGCCCAGTTTCCCGTCGTCCAATGCTTGCTTTGCTGACCCATAGCAAAGAGAAAGGGAGATCTCGCTCCCAATGTCCAGCGAGATATCTACCCATCACCCCGTGTCTGTCAAAGTCCTCAGCAACGCCTGAAAGTGCCGGTAGTCTGTCTTTCGAAAACGTAAGTTGCCGTTGACAATACCCTTCAAGAATCTTTGTCCATGTCTTCGACAGCCCGGTCGAGGAGGCACTCGTGAAGATCTTTCCGCTTTCCATCTTGATGTATGAGCCCGGGATCTTGCCGCTACACTCGCAGAATACACCATCATGACATTCCCACATCAGTTACTGGCTGGTAAAATGAACCAGGTGTGGCGACAGTATCTGTTCTTGAAGACACCAGCCTCGGGTGATCAGAGGTAAAGGACGACTTGATATGGTCTTATCATGCCTCGAAAACGGAGAGTGGTCGATGAAGCACCGGGTAAAGAAATGCCGTATTTTCCCGCTCAACTCGACAGTAGACTTATAGATTCGCCGCCTCCGGTCGTATAAAAAGCCTTCTTCTCCACCAGCCGCTGATGTCGCGGCGATGGTGATGTAGGCATTCCGATAGATGGAAGCCATTTGGCTGGCCTCTTTAGCCCAGTCATCTGGGTCGTCTTGAATTATGCATAAAGAATCGACCCAGATAAAGTCTATCCCTAGTGCACGGGTTACAGTGATGGCATCTTGAAAGGTCTTTGGCAGATCGGCCCAAGATAATCGCGATTTGTAGCGACCGAGGGTGGCCTTCGTTGTCTTCGCAGGTTGATGATGACCCCAGCAGTGACTTAGAGCAACATAATTGCAGTAATCGCCGTAAGCTTTCCTTTGGTCGCCAGTTTCGACAAGAAATACGTCGTCCTCGAAAGAGCCCACACGTACAAGTCTCGTAGGGGTATATGATTTTCTCGAAGCTGAGATGGACGAGCACAGTTTGTGCGAGCCAACACATATCGCCAGATTGGCACGGATAAAGTGGATGTAGTCATCCAGATTGACACAGCAACCTTCAGCTGGCTCGAGGCTCTTGCCAGCCCATGGGCAATTCTCCTCTGCCCGGTGTCAGTGATCACAAATCCCTATCCAGACCGTTTTTGGATGTCTGAACCCCGGAGCACTAACCAGAGGGTTTCACGTGGGTGCATCCCATCCCAAAACCCCATATGACAAAGTTTTCAGTTTGGAAATGAGGTTCCCGTCCAAAACACAGCCTGATCTTGATGTTGTAGTCGAGGGATGAAAATGATTCACCCAACAGGCCGATGCAACTGTTCAGTAAGAGCTTACAAGTCTTGCAACCATGATAGGAGGCATTTTGAATGTCAGAGATCTTGTAGACATATCCATTGCTAGGATGCTCCGAGCTAGGCTCCAAGTCATAGCAAACGGTGCACGAAGACATTGAAGCAACCGCACAAAATGTGTTTGAGAACGACCCGAATGGCCATAAAAGCGCGAGATCCCATAGGGGCATGTATAAAGGGCACGTTGTCATTCAACGGGCGCCATCATTGATTGTGACCGCAGATTTAAGAAGACTGACGGCGAAACTAAAGCGAAAGGAAATGAGCTCAGCTTTGAAGAGGAGGGGAAGTGTCTACTTATGCGAAGGGTGTGAGGGCGGAGGTCGTTCTGACGTCAATCTGGTGTGAACACTGACCAAAAATCAACATTGAGTCACACCGAGGTATAATGTAGACACATCCGACTTGTTATACCAATGAACGTCCGCAACGTGTTGCTGCGTGGCAGCGCTGCCGCAAGTGCAAATATTTACCAACCATTCCAAGCAAATCTAAGCAAGTGGAAGCTATCGCCACACCCAATTAAGCAAGTTTATACCCCTAAATTGACTCGAATACCTTGATTGATTCACCTATTTATAGATTAGCCTATAGGAGGCTATAGATCCGTCTTAGCCCTACTAATCTAGGTATGCTGGCTATGAGGGCATACGCGAGGGGCCCTTAGGAAGGGGGGGCGGGCTAGGAAAGAGGGATCTAAGGGCTCTAAGGGCTCTAAGGGCTGTGAGGGCTGTGAGGGCTGTGAGGGCTGTGAGTGCTATGAGGGCTATGTGAGAGGGTAATGAAGCTGTAGATAACTTCAAAATTACCTAATTAAGAAGTCAGAATAACGTAGTTTTGTACTATGCTTGAATTATTTTACTTGCAATTAGACTAATTAATCAAAGCCTTGTGGGAAATTTTCATCAACAGCAAGTCTGGGGGTCCAATTTGCTTTGATTGCACTTGTGGCAGCGCTGCTGCGTAGATGGGTATCTGTTCTGCCCATGAGAGGTTGTTGGCACAATTTCAAGTGGATACCAGCCCTGCGGATGTCTACGTGACCTAGTATGGCCAACCAGACAATAGCCATACCCTACAGTTTCAGCTGCGCGAACCGATCGTCGAATGAACGTCACATTGATAACCAGATGCGCAAGACACAGCTTGGCCTGTTTTTTTGCACGTCTTAGAGGTACAAGGAGATAATGTAGTTGAGATAAGAGGAGGAAAGCAAAGGTAGCTGTGCAACGCATCACTCAAGTCGACTGAGTCCACACGAGATAACTTGAGTTATGATGTTGCTGCCTTATAGGATGAAATGGTACTTAGTACTGATGCGACGCGATAGGCATTCAAGTTTTGTTGCCGCCCAGCACCTTATGAGAGAGCAAAGTGGCATTCGGTTCATGATCTTGTCGCTCGTGGTAAAGTCCTCGTACTACTATGCAGTAATGGCATCCTGGGGTTCCAACGTCTAAAGCTCGAAGACTGTGAATGATGTAAGGATATTGAAAAATAGTGAATTATCATTATTTTTAAATGATACGAAGTCTAATTATTTTTGACGCATCTCCACTCTACTGCTTAGCATCAGCGATAATACGCTCAGCCGCAATCTCAGCAATGCCGTACACAGCAGTCTGAACATGGGCAGAAACCAGCAGGGGGATAACACTGGCATCCACGACGCGCAGGTTTGAAGTGCCGTAGACCTTCAGGTTGGCGTCAACAACACCTCCGTCCTCCTTGGGCAGCATCGAGCACGTGCCGACGGGGTGGAAGATGCTCAGCGTGGTGTTGAGAGCAAACTCCTTCCACTGCTCGTCCGTCTGGACGACATCCAGACCGGGCTCGTACTCGCTCTCCCAGATGGAGGCCATGGGCTCGGTGGTGGCGATCTTGCGGCAGTACTTGATGGCCTGGATGGCGGCCTCGAGATCGTGCTCGTGGGCAAAGTAGTTGGGGTTGATGATGGGCTTGCCGGTGGTGTCGGCGGGGTTGATGTGAATGTTGCCACGGCTCATGGGGTGCATGATGGCCGCGATGAGGGTGAAGAAGCCCTTGCCGAAGAGGGGGGAGGTGGAGGCCGGGTAGCCCTTGACGCCGGTGTAACCATCGGAGAAGATGACCTCCAGCTGGGGGATAGCCGGGTTGGTCATGAACTCGAGCTTCTTCGCATCAACCTTGCTGGGGTCCTCGCCGGCGGCTTCCTTGGCGAGGGCGACCATTTGCGAGTCGTTGCCGAGGGCTTGTGCCCAGGTGGTAAAGGTGTACCCGCTGCCGGTGTAGTCGTACAGGGAGACTTCGCCGGCGTTCCAGAGGGCCAGCTGCTCGGCGGCGTAGGTGGTGTTGCTGCGCAGAATGTCGAAGGAGGTGTACTCGGGCTTCAGCTGGTAAGAGCTCTGGATACGGAGGTGGTCCTGCAGGTTCTCGCCGACACCGGGGAGGTCAATGACCTGGGCGATGCCCGATGAGTTGAGGACGGAGGCTTGGCCGATTCCGGACAGTTCCAGAAGACCGGGGCTCTGGATGGAACCAGCAGACAGAATGACCTCCTTGTTGGCTGCAATGACAGTTCCGTCCTGCAGAGTGACTCCGGTGGCCTGCTGCTCATCTCCAACCTGCTCGAGGTTGACCTTGGCAACAGTGGTATCGGACAGGATCTCCAAGTTGGAGCCAGCAATGGGGGCGTAGGCATTGGCGCTGTACGAGCGGCTGTAGTGAGTAGCATCAATGCTGCTGGGCTGATACATGACGCCCAAGGGGTTACCACCGAGTGACTCTAGGTTAGTCTTGATGCCCAGGGTGTTCATCGTCGGGATCCATGTCTCCTGGTGCTCGGGAATAATCCGATTGATGACCGCCTTGACCGGACCGCTGTCGCCAACGCCCTCGGAGCCGTAGGTGTCAGTGTTGATGCCAGTGAAGTTCTCCGACTTCTTCATGGCGGCAATCATGGTCTCCCAGTTCCACCCAGCATTACCAAGCGCCTCCCAGCTGTCATATTCCTCGGCGGCAGACCGATCATAGGACATGAGGTTGAGAGCAGAGCTGCCACCGAGGACTTTGCCGCGGTTCACGGAGAAGACACGGTTGTTGACGTTGGTCTGCGCCACGGTGGTGAAGTTCCAGTCATACTTGGTCGCCAGCGTCGAGCCCTTCATGCCAGGGACATTGATCTTGGGCTCGTCCCAGGCCTCGGGGCCCGCCTCGATTAAGAGAATTTTCGAGTCAGGGAGGCCCTCGCTCAGGCGCGCAGCCACGGCTACACCGGCCGTACCACCACCGACTACGATCTGGTTAAAGGGGTCAGTGTGTCGAGTCCGAACGCCGCCGCCGCCAACCAACAAACAAACGTTGCAATCAAATCAATCCGAGGAGAAAGCGAAGCGCCAACCCCCGCCGAAAAAAGCAACAAAAGGACCAAAAGGTCTGAAAATGGACGTGAAAACTTACATAATCGTAGGAGTCGTCTCCATAGGGCTGCGGCGCAGGCGCTGCAAAGACATGGGCCGCGAGGGCAGCAAATGCGAGACTCGACTTGACAAGCATGGCTAAGACGGTGGTGTACAGCGATCTTTTTCCCGAAATGGACCAGACAATAAGGTTTGAAAAATCGTCGGTTCAGCGATTGAGAGATCACGAAACGAGAGACGAGGATTCGCGAAAAGCTCAAACCAATGATGCGCGATATCTGCACGTCAGGCCTCCTGGACAAAAACCAACACACTCATGTACGACGATGGAGGGACGGTGGCGTGCCTTGACCATGCGTCACCTCCGGTGAGAGAAACGGGCTGAGCTGAGCCTTTTTGTACGTCCCACAAGATAGCGAATAAAAGTCGCAATTCGATAGTACGGATATTAAGACCACCACGGGCAATGTCGTCCAGCCAGAATGTGCTGATCATGAGCCACGCGGCCCAGCAAATATCCTAGTCGCCGCCCCAGGTCGCCGCTTGCCAAGTTCTACAACGGCACAAGGGCCAGAATCGGTGGGGTTCCGAACCATCATTCTGCCATATACGCGGGACGGCTGGTAGGACGACGGTTGGAAGCGTGGGTGAGAGGACGACAGGCCATACATAGTAAGCACTTATTAAGTCCCGACACTACGGACGCTACGCCAGGCCAACGCACACCTTCTTACATGGAAAAGATACGCGAGCCAACTACCCCGACGAGCTAAGGGGTGAGAAGAGGGGGAATTGCATGAGTAGTTCGTAAGCGGGCATAGCACAGTCTTATGCTCAGCCGGGCCCCAACGGTTAAAGACGAACGACACGCCCTCGCCGGCACGTTGGCTGTGCCCGGCGAATGCTACCGTACCATCGACGTTTCTGTTCCGGCGGGAACGGTTGGCAATGCGGAGCTGCGCCGGCCGGTCGTTCCTCCGGGGGAGGGTTCATGACTCAAGGATGTCCCCTGCCAGACCCATCCGACAACCTGACAGGTCCTTGTCTGGGCAAATCATCCGTCTTAGTCAATTATGAACAATTCCACCACAATCCCACGTCGCCAGGCATTGACGAGGTT